ATTTATCTGTGTGTTCTTTAACACAAAACCAAAAATAACTTAAGGCAAGCGTTTATTTTTTCAAGGAATCTTGGATAGGTGATGCTTCTAGGCAACTAGCAGAATTGTTCTCAAACTCCTCCTTGCAATATGGTGATATTAACTATGGCACTGAAGAATTACCACGGTTTGTGGCCAGGACCGTGCTGCAGTGGGGTAAGCTGCTGCCTGGGATGCCAGCGTCCCATATGAGTACTGTTTTGAGTCCTGATGCTCCTCTTCTGCTCCAGCTTCCTGCTAATGCTAAGGGCAGTGGAAGATAATACCTTCAAACACTCCTGGGTTTTGACAGCAAAGCTAGTGCCAGAATCTTAATGCCATTGTCATTACAGGCTGAAACTAGAAGTAACGTAAACACCAACTATTCTAGGATAGATCACTGGATGGTGTTATAATCCCATGATGGAATCTTCTACAGCAGCAATGACAGTTGACTTATTAAATTTCAACATGGATGACTCTAAGAAACACAACATTACAGAAATATGGATAGCAATGTATGAATTCACTTACATAATAAACTCAGATAGTCAACCACGTAGTATTTATCTTGGAGAAGTGTGTATGGAACTGAGGAGTAGGTGGCTGTTTGTTCTTATATTATTGTTTAAACTGCAGATAGGTCATCTATATACTGTTTTGGGTATATTTTGTACATCATGATTAATACTTTTTGAAATGAGAGTACAGAATTTTCAGAGATCTCCACGACAGAATGTTGGATTAGATGCTTGCATGTAACTCTCTGGAAAGGACTTTGAGGAAGAGTAGACAAGAGAATTTGATCAGAAATTCACACCAACGGTGTGTGCCTGGGTTGCTGGAATAATCCTGGGACTGTGGGAAAGAAATCAGGAGATCAAGACTTTTCTGGTGCCTAGTCACAATGGTAGCTATGTATGTGTCACGGTAGACTTCACCGCGGCTGTCGCTGAGGTAAGGGAAATGTAGCGTTATGCAAAAGGATATTCTCTCATGATACTGGGCATTTGCAGTGTGTTCCAGCTCTGTCGGTCCCATGTTCACAAGTAGGAGACAGCTGATACTCTACAGTGTACTTTGTTGCTAAATTAGGTATATAAAATACATTTTGCCTATGCTTCTTTCAAATTACAGTAGCTTTATTGAAGTGAAACCTTTTCACAAGTTGAAGAGCATATGTATTTATGCTGCATGTATATAAAACAATTTATTTTTAAGATTCATTTGTTTATTTGAAAGTTAAAGTTATATGGAGTAAAAGAGAGACAGCAATCTTTCTCTCTCACTCTCTTTCTCATGACAACCCCTGGTTCATTCTCCAAATGGCTGTGATAGCCAGGGCTAGACTAGGTTGAAACCTGAACCCTGAATTTCCATGTATGTCTCCCAATGGGCGCCAGAGACTTGAGAACCTAGACTATCCTCTACCATCTTCTCAGGCACTTAAACACAGCCAGCTCCGCAGCAGAGCACCTGGGACCCAAACTGACCAAGCAGCTGTTTATCCTGCTATGCCATGAAAACAGGCTGCACAAAGTCTTTTTTTTTTTTAATTATTTTTATTGGAAAGGCGGATCCACAGAGAGAAGGAGAGACAGAGAAAAAGACCTTCCATCTGCTGGTTCACTCCCCAAGTGGCTGCAACAGCTGGAGCTGAGCCAATCCAAAACCAGGAGCCAGGAGCTTTCTCCAGGTCCCCCATATGGGTGCTGGGTCCCAAGGCGCTGGGCCATCGTCTATCACCTTTCCAGTAACAAACAGGGAGCTGGAAGGAAAGTGAACAGTTGGAATACAAATCTTTGCCCATATAGGATCCCAGCACATGCAAAGCGACAACTTTAGCCTCTAGCCTATCGTGCTGGGCCCTGCCCAAAGTCATTTTAAAAAGTAAAAGGTAGTAAGATGAAAGCAAATGAGTCATTATTTGTACCACATCTGATTTCTTCAATGGCATTATAGCCAAGTATTGACACATTGACTAGCACATAGTCAATATTCAGCAGATATCTGGAATGGAAGATGTGGCCATATCACCTGTAGATGGTTGAGGTTGTAAAAGTGGGATGCTTTTGGTTTTATTTTTGTGGGCTTTAATGATTGTACTTCCTAGGCTGGAAATTTGCTGCAAGGCAGCCTTCATTCCTCTTGGTTTTTCCTCTCTCTCCTAGCTTCTTCCTCCGCCACCTTTTCATTGAAGATATAAAATAGGCAGGGTGTATTGTTTTGGCTTGGTGAATCTGTTAGCATGTGACAAAGGTCTGGGGAAAATAGAGAACACTAAGTTCTTGTCCCTTTTTTTACTTCCCAAATTTATTAGATGATAAATGAAGTTACCGCAGAGACTATGATACCAAAAAGGACATAGTAAAGATAATTACCAGAGAATTTCTTGCCATATGAGCAAAAGTTCTTAAATACAAATTGACAAACAATTTTAGGAATCCCAAGAAACCTAAAATAATGCATAAATTGCTCGAGGATAGATGTGCAATTGCTGGAGGAAAATAATTTTTTATATTAAATTCAAACTCTATCATAGAGAAAAACTCAGTTTCAAGGCTCTGCTACAGTGGTGCATTTTGCAGGGAAAATTTTAAGGACACTTGAGAAAAAAAGTATATGTAAGTTCTAAACACCTGCAGATATTGAATCTGTTTGAAAGTTTCTTTACTGACGTCTCACACCTCTCTTTCAAAGTATTTATTTGCTGTGTTTCTGCTCTGCAAGTTAGAGTTTGAAGCTCTCAGTGCTATCTGCAGTAATTGAAAAATCCTGACTGATGCTATTTGTTCTCAGGACTGCAGAGAGCCCATGTGGGCAACTTTACTGATAAGTCATTGAGCAAGCACATGACTTGGTGCTACCATGAACTGTACTTGTATAACTCATTTAGCTCTAACTGAACTTATACACAAAGCACTGGCCTTCTCAATGTAGTGCCCTTCTTCAGCTACTGCATTTTTTTTTCTTTAAATTCCTTGAAACTGTCCACTGGAACTTTCATCTCTTATTGTCCTTGTCTTAGGTAACCTTCCACTCTTACTGAATTATTTGCATGCTGGACTTAAATGTTTGTTTTAGTGTGGATTCCTGGGCACTCGACTCAGTAGCTCACTTGATGATCTCTGGAAGCCACATTGGTATAAGACCTTCTCAAGTGAAGCAGTCAAGATTACTGTTGTCATTAAGAAAGGCTTGTTCCTGGTCCTAATGTTTTACTTGTTATTTCCAGTTTATTTATTGATTGATCCATTCATTTACCAAACATTTATGGGCACTTGTTATATTCAGGGGATGTTCCCAATTGCAGAGGAATCAGAAAGATGAATATTAAACACTGAGTTATTGCCTTGTGCCAGGTTAGGGCACGTGGCAATACAGGCAAGATGAAGATTTAAGTCCTCCTTAAGCTTACTGTCTTTAAATAAGCATTTTGCTATGTATTTAGTCATTTGACAAACCTGGATACACATAGGGATGTTTTGGCCTCTGGGTCAGCAGAGGCCAAAGATGTGGTTAAACACTGGACGATGAACAAGACTGTCAATTTCAGCAAGGAATGGCTCTGGTCAAGATTCTGGTGGTGCTATGTTTCAGAAGCACTGGCTTAGAGGACCAATGTTCCTCAGAGAAACATCAGCTGTAATAGACTCGGGTAGAGGGGAACCCTGAGGCAGTGGCCTTTGCTTCAAAGCTCCCCACCCCAAATCAACTCTTAGTCCACAACAAAACCACAGACCATTTGGAAGCGTGGAATCGCATTTTCATCTCAGTGGATTTCCAGGATTGAACTGATGTTTCTTAAAGGCAGGCAGCTTATAGCTTGGTGCCTTTCTGGTTGCCTGCTGCTTAACCCAATCCTGATTGCTGTTAAGGAGCTTACGGTTGAGAATGGAAGAAGCACGGCTATAATATAAACTATGGCACTGTGTGATAAATCCTGAGAAGTTTCAATGCAGTTGATGTTTTGGAATATTAAGCAATTAAACTCTGTCTGGGGGGAGCGGGGCCTGGCAGGCTTGCCGGATGAGGTGGCATTTGAGCAGGGACTTTGATGAAGTAACCACCAGTAGGCTGATACATACCTTTTCCTCATTTCTACCATGTCCTGGTTGGTTGTATTTGTAACTGATGATAAGATTTTTGTGTTTTGTGTTTTATTGCCTTTTAGGAAAACTTGTTTCTATATTATATTGCGTTGAGCACAATTTTTTTATAAATTGTTCAGGCTCAACTCGGCAGTGTCCTTTTCTCCCCACATCTTCTGTTAAAGATTTTAATAGAAAGTGGTTTCAACTGTACAATTGTAGGTGCTGGAGTTTAGCGGTAGTCCAGGACTGTAAACTTTCAGTGAATGACATCTTGTTTGTTGTTTTAATTTTATGTGTGTGTTAAGAAAACTCTTTCTCAAGGCTAAGAATTTTGTAGCTTGAGAATCCATGGAAAGTACATTTATAACCTGTGTAGCCATTTATAAATGCTTTTCAGATACAATCCATGTTCTAAAACATAGGAAAACACAATAGAAAATCATGCCTACAGTTTGCAATATCAAATGTGTTTGTGAGCCTATAGATTGAAAAATTTGTTGTGCTAGATACAGCCAAATAAAACAGGTGTTCCATTTCTGGTACAGGAGAATGTTAAGATCTTTATAATGTGATTATCCAGATGTTAAAGGATTTATCTTCATTTTCTGAAGTTTTGTGTTGATGTAAGGTACCAACACATAATGAGTTGTTCTCTGTCACTTAAAAATATGCTGTGATATCACATATTTGGTAATGACTTTTAAAAAAAATGTTTCCTTGTTAACTTTTTAAAGATACTAGTTTTAATGTTAGAAATATATAGTTCAAAAAGCTGCAAAAAGGCATATATGTTGCAGGGCCTTGTATTTTAGTTTTTACTCTGAGTTGGGTGGATAAACATGGATGTTGGTCTGCATTTTCACCAAAATCTTTTCCTTTTTGTTTCAGTCTGATGCCAATGCCAGTTACCTAAGAGCAGCTCGAGCTGGACACCTAGAAAAGGCTCTTGACTACATAAAAAATGGAGTGGACATCAACATTTGCAATCAGGTTAATTGTGGTTATTGTTTCTATCACTTAGTTTTAGTCAGAAATTCAGACTTAAAACTCCTTAAAATATTATCAAGATTGTTTCTTGTTATTAATAATTATTATTTTCCCTACAAATTTTATCAGCTTGACATGATGAAATTTTTCTTTGATCTGTTAGAACATTCAAAAGTGCAGGTATTGGCTGTTAATAGTTAATTCCTAAAATTTATCAAGTAATAATAAAACAACCCATCTAGTTTTCAAGCATTTTTATTTCTCATTCAAATTACTTCGTTTATGGAATACTGTCTTAGCATTTCTGGATAGACTGTTACATGCTGTGTTTTCAACGTGCCAAGTAAAGCTTTTCCTGCACTTTCCCCAGAATGGGTTGAATGCTCTCCATCTTGCTTCCAAAGAAGGCCATGTTGAAGTTGTCTCCGAGCTGCTACAGAGAGAGGCCAACGTGGATGCAGCCACAAAGGTCAGTATCGTATCTTCTGCATTTATTGGTTTTTGGCCAACTTCAGGATTCAGCCCTTGAATAAGGGTCCACTATGCATAACTATGCTGATCAACTTTTTTCTTTTGGGGGAACTTCAAGCAGAGGTAGGTTAGAAAGTTTGGTGAGTTGATGTGTCTTGCTTTTCACTTTACAGAAAGGGAACACAGCGTTGCACATAGCATCTTTGGCTGGGCAAGCGGAAGTGGTGAAGGTCTTGGTTACAAATGGAGCGAACGTCAATGCACAATCTCAGGTAAACCACAACTCGACAGCAAAGACATTTTGCTATAATTTACAAGTAATGCTCTTTGGGTCATGTGCTTGCTTTGTTCTCCTGCCCTCTAAGAACACAATACTTCAGAGCTGTGCTGAAATAATTATGTGAGTGCAGGTTACTTCAATGCATATCTTCATGTGCAATATGTACGTGTGTATGCAATTTGTATGTAGAGGTGGAGATTGCTAAACATGATCCATCTATGATACTGTGTGCCGTGGGAAGCATTATTCAGTCCACATAGGCTTGATTGGATAGAGAAACAAACATCATCATAGCAGAACCATCCACTGAGGACTGCACTACTGTACAACTGCTCCCCATGCACACACTCCTTCCAGCTGGATGAGAACAGGGCATTCAAAGTGTTTGTGGAAAATAGAATTAAATGATAAGTTTTATTTCAGGAAAAGAGATTTTGAAATCCATGCATATGAGTGACTTTCAAACACTTCATGAAAATGAGAAGTTATGGTTTGATTTTAAAGATACACTTAGTTCCTAAAATCAATGTTCTGTGCAATTTTAGAAGTACCCCGGTACCTATCAGCAGCACCATCAACGTGTTAAGTATTGAACAAATTAATTACAGAACAAAATTGCAAATTTTGCCAAAGTCCCAATTTATACAGACACTAAAAATGTCAAAAAGTTGCTGGGTGCCCAGGTCAGCTGTAGGCAGCAGGTTTTCTGGCAGCATTTGACAAAGCAGCGTGTGAATACTTAAGCTGAATTTCTGATACATGCTTCACAGGCAGTGACTTGAAAAGGGAAAGATTAGATGAGGATGAAAGACATATACACACACACGAGAGGGGCGGGGGGAGAGAGAGGGAGAAAGAGAGGAGGAGGAAGAGGGAAGGCAGAGAAAATGTCACAGTTTTCCTTATCTTGTGAAAATAAGGGAGTGAAGGAAAGTATACTATCATAGGAATTTGATGGAAAAGTCACTTTTCCTGCATAGAAATCACACTTTGCTTATTCTTCATTCTGAGAACTCATTCTGGAGCACAACCATAATGTAGTGTGTTAAGTCATATAAACTTTCCACAGCTTCCACTTTTATCTTCTGTTTTTTTTTTTTTTTAAAGATTTATTTTTATTATTTTTTCATTGGAAAGGCAGATATACAGAGAGGAGAGACAGAGAGGAAGATCTTCCGTCCGATGATTCACTCCCCAAGTGAGCGCAACGGGCCGATACTATGCCGATCCGAAGCCAGGAGCCTCTTCCGGGTCTCCCACGCGGGTGCAGGTTCCCAAAGCTTTGGGCCGTCCTCTGCTGCTTTCCCAGGCCACAGGCAGGGAGCTGGAAGGGAAGCGGGGCTGCCGGGATTAGAACCGGCGCCCATATGGGATCCCGGGCGGCAAGGTGAGGACCTTTAACCACTTGCGCCACCGCGCCGGGCCCTATCTTCTGTTTTTAAGAAGGATGTATTCATGCCTTAGATTCTCAGGGTCCTGATCGGAGGGGGGAAAAAACAAATTTCTCAGGTTACAACAACTGTGTGATAATCACTGCAACACGGCTCTTCCCTGGAATTGCCATGACTTTCTGTTCCGTTACGTTAGTGACAGCTTGCTAGCCCCTGACTGCCCGTGTCCCGGAGCGGAGACTGCACAGTGCCGTCGGCGGCACGGCTACTCATGCTTGTGCCCCTACTGCCTTCTGCTTGGAGCTTTGTTACGTAGTCTGTGCCAGTTGCTCTGTTTTTCTGTGAAATTTCACTTGGGGGAGCTATGCTTTTCCAGATGATTTGAAATTAGCAAGCAAAGTATCTTGAGAGTCACAGACCAGCTGACCACAATAGAAACAGCCAGCTTCTAAATGCGTTTTCTCAAAATTATCCCTATGATTATTATTACTATTATTTTACTGATGAAGTGTCCAGTTTTGGGCTCTGAGATAATGGGAACACTCTCACTTTCACTTCCATGTTGATTCTCCTAAGGGAGGAAAACAAAGCCTCCTTCACGTAGATATTGCGCACATTCTTGACGAATGCTATAGAAGGAGCTGTAGTTTCAAATCTGCTTTCCGGTGTTTGGGAGAAGTGGCCATTGAAATAAAACCCTCACTGGGTTTAAATTCAGTTTGTCCACATTCCACACTGATGATGCAGCGAGGGGAAGAATATAAGCTGTGAAATTCCCTGGTGCCGGCAGCTAGGCTTTGCTCTGCAGAGCATCTCGGCCTGTGTGGGGCACCTGCCTTCCTGTGCCTTCTGAACCGCATAAATTCTGTGGGTGGAATGAATAATGACAAGGTAGTGCAGTGGTGTGGAGTTTTTGTGATGGCAGCTCTTCAGTCAGAACTGTTAGAGCAGCCAGTAATGGCTATGTAAAATGAGATTAGATTCCATGCAGATGGCCATATGTAAAACATCACAGGGATATTAATATTTAAGAAAATATCTCCAGCTCAGTAAAATTGTAAGCCATAGCCAAGTTTTAGTTGCCAACAAAAACTAGTGTAGAGAGACTCTAAACTCCCAGACTACAAAAAGTCTTGTCTTAGAAATAGGACATAGAACATTTTCTTCCTACAAACAGAGGCTATAAACTGAGAATTTCTTATTATAAAGTAATTCTTGTCATTGAACTGAGATCTTAACAAGTTAAATCTTTCTTACATTGTTAAGCATTCTGTATTCATTTAGTCCCACCCTGAGGAAAAAAAATGGTTGGATAATAAAACTATGATTATGAAGATTTAAGTCCATAATATGCTGTCATAAATGCACTGACAATGATCAATGATGTTTGCTCCTGAAAAAACAAATCTCAAAACTGCTGAGTCAGATGACAGTCCTCATTCCCCTGCATATTCTGTGATGTAAGCCCCGCTTGCACTTGGGAAGAAGCAAAGTGAGTTTGCAATAGCAGTTTTACCTGTCAGAGTGTTCAGCGGTGTTCACAATGGCAGGACCCACCCTGCAAGTGAACCAGGACCTGCCTCCTGAACTCGCTCTTGGTCTATATATCTGGATAGCTCCTGTGGTGAGAAGGCCAGCTCCAAAGGACATCAGACAGATAGGAACCCTCTGATTTTGTTATCACGTCTACCATGTCACTGATTTTTATGATGGTAAACGCCTTGTGAATCAGCACGCCAACTGTTGCGTTTGCCCGTCCATCTTCGTTAAAGTCACTTAAGGAGTGGTGTTCAGCACACCAGTGGAGATGCTGCTTGAGAGGCCCATGACCCATCTCTGCTCCTGTTGCCAGCTTCTAGCTAATGTGTGATTCACGTAGTTAGGTGTCTGGTGTCCATGAGGAAGACATGGGTTGAAATCCCAGCTTCTGGCTCCTTGATGTGGTAAGCATTTTGAAAGTAGACCATCAGATGAAAGAGCACTCTTTCTTAGTGCCTTCCAAATAAATTATTTTTAAAAACTCAACACATCATGATGTATAAAAGTTAGCCATACAAAAGCAGAATGCGTTGGAAAATTTCTTGGGTGAAATGTAAACCCTTACTTAAATCACGGAAGGAATTATTATTTTATTTGGATAGGCATTCTGCAGGCTGCTTCAGAACTAACTACAAAATTATGTCTGCAGATTTGCATGCTTTTAATAGCACCACTATAAACATTCAGAGCAGAAGGTACTGGAGACACTGGATAAAATCTTACTCAAATAGCATCCTCGCTCCATCTTACACTGCTCTGCCTTTTGAGAATTGAATCTATTGTTGCTGCAGAGAAGAAAATATAAATTAGTCCTGTATGTTCCTTTATGGCCAGTTTTTTTTTAAAATCTCCTACATTAGGAAATTAACATAAAACCAGTGATGTATTTTTTTTTCTTAAGTCATTCTTTGTCAAATCTGACCTTTCTCCCAATCCAAGTGCCGTGCCACAGAAAATCCTTGTAGCTGTGGGTTGTCTATGACTAGTTGAATTATGTTGTAAGCCTTTGACTGGATCAAAAGAATGAGGACAATAATTTTATTCATTCTTTCTAAAGAACAATTATAATTTTCTCCCAAAAAGCATACCTAAGTAGTGGGTTATCTTCTCATGACTTGTTTATCATTTATTGATAGCTGAAATTTACGCTAATTTGTGCCATTTGCAATCAAGGAAAGGAAGGTAATAGGGGCACAAAGGGGCATTTATTGGAATTAAATGGCGGATCAAAAAGGATGGGAAGCTAAAGAAGCTTTCAGAGAGCTTTAAAAACCAGGTGGAGGGTGGGAATACCTAGCTGGACAAGAGGTGATGACCTCTTCCTGTGGTTCCTACTTGTCAGCTAAGGCTAAGAATGACAGAGAACAGAGCTGAAAGAGCAAAAAAAATATATATATAGCATGTGCCCACCTGTAGTTAAATGGCAAGTCTGCTGGTCTCAGAGTTCAACTAAGAGAAATAAACACACAGACACACACAGACACACACACACACACACACACACACAAATGCTTACTATAGAATTTAAAGTTCTCTCATGGGAGTCCTCATTAACAGTATGTTGTTAATACATACTGCGGAAATAGCCTCAGATCATTAATAACCATGTATTGTATGCTTCTGTTTAAGTTAAATGTCCAGGCCATGGTGACAGAAAATAAATTATTAGTTACTAAGATATATACAAGGGGTAGATTGGGAGTGATTACTCACTAGCATGATTTTTTTGGGGGAGGAGAGGAATGATTGTCCACTTTTGTGAATTGTATATTTTAAAAGGTGAGTCTTATGCTGTGTGAATTATGTGTCAAAAATATTTTTAAAATATAAAGTGAAAAAGGACATGACCATTCAAAAAATGACCATTTCTCGTAATAAAGTTAGGATTACAAACACTCAAAAAGGAGGTACAATGTGATTGCAGGAAGCAATTGATGACAAGGCTACAGCTTGTGGCTCTTATCTACGTATTATTTACCAGTCATCTCAAGTGCACATTTCTCAGTTTGATACCTTTAAAAAAAAAACCATATGGAGTGACTTGTGTTTCTTAATAATAAGTCTTTAGAATCTCTATGTGTGGGAGAGTAGCGTTTCCCTAAAACTTGGGTGCCCAGCTTTCCTCATGGGTCATAAAGTGCTTGATTGCAGAAGGCAATTCTGGAAGGCAGGAGTGGACATTTACTGGGCTGTGAGGCAGTGATGTGTGGGTGGGCTGGAGCTTCTCACACTGCGTTGGACCCCAGCAGACATTATTCTGAAATGGAGAAACACCTTGCATCACTCCTGTGGATGAAATGGGTATCTGAGAGCACCAACATCCATTTGGAAGCTTTCAGAACTTTATACCTAAAATCTGAACCACCAATATCCAAATCTGGATATTCTGGCTTTAAAAAAAGCACTTGCTGGGTGAAGATAGAGTCTAGGAAGTTCATTTATCTACAAAGAAAAAGTCACACCAATTTTTACTCTATCTTTAACGATTATTTTTCTCTTGTTTTGTTATTTAAAGGTTATCTAAACCCACAAAGCTTCATTATTCTTTCATGTTGGTCAAGAAAGAAAGCAGGAAAAAAGTCAGCAGCATGATTAGGGTAATCCTAAGCCATTGTGGGGTTTCCCTCCTAGCTGTAGCAAGAGTGACTAAGATGTTGGACACTGAGGCACATGGATCTAACTGCACACACACTGGGTTGCAGTTATTCCGTGCCTCCTATTTAAATGCTGATGTAACCGATTGTGTAAAGTAGCACTGGCCACCAAAGCTTATTGCCACGTAGATAATCATAAGGCAGAAGGTTGAATAGTCATACTGTACTACCTCTGATTCTGAGTTTGTAATCTTGAGCTCCGCAACCAGATAACCCACCTTGGGACATTTATGTGCAAGCTAAAGAAGCATGCAAGAGATCTCTAATTAGGGTACCAAACACGCAGAGTGTGTGTCAGGTAGCGTCAGTTTTCCCTGCTCGAGAATTTCACTTCCTATTTCTCAGACATAAACTCCCAAAATGAGGCCACCAGAGCCTCATTATGGATAAAGAAGGTAGTTATGGATAATTATAGAGCAATAGATCTTTCTAATGATGAACCTAATGCTTTTGAATTGCAGATGTTTGAATGACATGTGGTAATACTTCAGTTTAAGGCATTTACTTTTATTCTTTCAAATTACATAGTGCACATTATGTTAACACTACGTATTCTGAAAAACGTATTTCCTTTGAAATGTGTTGTAGTCTGAAAATGCTCATTTTGCTGTTTATATCTTATAAGGTTTTTAAATGACAGTATTATATAGATGCAGTCTTCTGGTAAACACTCAATCGCACCTTTTTTAAAGATTTATTTATTTTATTGGAACTGCAAATGTAAAGAGAGGAATAGAGACAGAGAGGAAGATCTTCCGTCCGATGGTTCACTCCCCAAGCTGCCACAATGACCAGAGCTGTGTTGATCTGAAGCCAGGAACTGGGAGCTGCTTCTGGGTCTCCCACATGGGTGCAGGCTCCCAAGGTTTTGGGCCATTCTTGACTGCTTTCCCAGGAAGGGAGCTGGTGGGAAGTGGGGCCACCGGGATTAGAACCAGAGCCCATATGGGATCCTGGTGCATTCAAGGCGAGGACTTTAGCTGCTAGACTATCATGCCAGGTTCTGCAACAACTTTTTAATATTCATTTGCTTAAATCCAAGTGTTTGGACATTTTAGATAAGCATACACACACACACACACACACACACACACACAGACACCCCAAATGTGTATGTAAGCATGGGCATATTTGAATAATACTGTTGTTCCTAACATAAAAATCTTATACTTTACAACAACTACAAAGGAAGGAGACCTTATTTTTAAACTACTGATTTGATTCTGCATTCAGTTTGAACTGTCCCACTTTGCGAGTTGATGGGCTTTTCTTTCCTCTGAGTGACCGTATCTGTGGTTAGATTGAGGACATTGAAGATGAGTGTGCATTCTTTCCCAGAATGGAGCTGCTTCAGCTACTTCTCTGTGCAAGTGTTCACTCTGTACTTAAAAAAGATAACTGGCACTGAGGAACTGTAAGAACCCAGAATGTTCATCTTTATGTCCTCACAGCACTCAGCACAGTTCTTTACTCATGTGAGGCACTCAGTCGTTAAGTGGTTGATGAGGAAATGAATGTATTATTTATCTAAAGCAAATAAATTGCTATGGATTATATTTAGACAATTATGAACTATGATTCACTTTCAAATTATGGACTATGAACTATAATTATTATACTTATGAAATTTGCTTCACTACGTAGCATGGGTTTTCTAATAAATATGACTATTTTATACCAAAGTATAACTGCAATTATTGTGTGTAGACGTTTCTTACTGCATATCACCAACATTTGACTTCTTCTTTCGCAGAATGGTTTCACACCCTTGTATATGGCCGCCCAGGAAAACCACCTGGAGGTTGTCAAGTTTCTGCTGGATAACGGTGCCAGCCAGAGCCTTGCCACCGAGGTAAGAAACCGTGTTTTCTTCCAAGGGAAAAATTCACATGTGTTCATCAGACATTTTAAAAATCTGAGGTTGATCATTTGTTTCTCTAGGGTTTCTGTTGCAATTATGGATTCCCATAGGAGTTGAAACGTTTTATGAAATATAGAGTCTATTTTCATCTTTCAAGGCAAAAATACCCTTCTGCTGGTAAATGCCCGGTTCTGTCACACAAACGCGCTGTAATTTTGATATTTTAACTTGGGAACACTGGTTTCTCTCCTAATTTTGCCTCAGAGGCCACATTACAATCCAATAATAAGCTTTTTTTCAAGTAAGCTTTAGTTTTAAGTTGACATTTTTCAAATAGAGCCTGATGCCCATTACATTTATTTCTAAATTTAACTAAGTAAATCTATACTTCTAAATAACGTGATTATATGTTTCTAAGTCATAGACAGAAGTAATATTTGACAAAAACTTAGCCTTACATTGTAAAATTAAAGTAGAAAATTACTTAAGTTACTAATACCGTCTTAGGTGATGCAGTTTATTTCTAAGATTAATTTGGATGGGAAAGGTGATGTGGCGTAGTGGGTTAAGGTGCAGCTTGGGATTCTCCTATTCCTTATCAGAAGGCCAGTTCCAGTCCCAGATGCTCCCCTTCTGGCACAGCTCCCAGCTAACGTGCCTGGGAAGTGGCAGAAGAAGCCTCAACTACTTGAGTCACTGCCACTACAGTGGCAGACTGAGGTAGAATTCTGGGCCTCTGAATGGCCCAGCCCTGGGTTTGCAGCCATTTGAGGAGTAAGTCAGTAAAATCTTTCTATTTTTCTCTCTTTCTCTATTTCCCTCTGCCTCATTCTCCCTCTTCTTCTCTATCCCTCTGTCACTATATCCTTCAAATAAGTAACTGTTTAAAAAGATAAATTAGGACCTGGTACCATAGCATAGCAGCATGTCTCCAACCTGCAGGGCCAGCATCCTATATGTATGAGTCCCAGCTGCTCAACCTTCGATCCGGCTCCTTACTTATGTACCCGAGAAAGCAGCAGAAGATGGCCCAAAGTCCTTGGGCCCTACCATTCATGTAGGAGACCTGGAGGAGACTCCAGGCTCCTGACAATAGCTCAACCCTAGCCATTTTGACCATTTGAGGAGTCAACCAGTCGGTAGAAGATCTCTCTCTTCTTCGGTCTCTACTTCTTTCTCTGTAAATCTACCTCTCACATACAGAAAAAATTTTTCAGAAAGACCAGAAAAACTATGAATGGAAGATTGTGATCACTTTGTTAAAGATAGCACTGTCAATCTGTTGCTATTAATTAAGGACCCCTATTTTTTGTCGTCTTTGCTTTTAACAAAGCAGCAAATTAGAGTAGATGTGGGATTATCTCTGTCAACATATCACGGCCTTTGCTTGCATCCTGATGTGCGTCCTACATGGCACAGCAAGGATGCCCATGGAGGAATTGCATAGAACTTTATTCAGCTTTTCAGTTTGGGCATTCCAGGGCAATCACTAAATAAATGAAAAGATAGTGGGTACCAAAGGAATTGTAAATGGCCATAAGTATATGAAAATATCCACACCTCCTTACATAGTCAAATGAATAGAAATTTACTATTCCGATAAAAACAAAGTCCACTCTTTTGCTTATGAGAAAAAAAAAATAGGGACAGGAATCCTGAACTTTTCAAAATATTGGTGACACTGATTATTGGTTGCAATGTGTGTTTAGAACACTTGGCAGTGACTATCAAAAACTGATACTCGCATACCTTTTAACTAGCAATTCCACATCTAAAAATTCATCTCTTAAACATTAGAGCTATATACAATGTAATATATAGGAATATCAAATGGCATGTAGTGTGTAAGAAGACACAATTACATAATTAGAACTTCTAAAAGCAGAGAAGACTCTTGTAATGAGAACCCTGTGTAATAATTGTCAGTATGATGATGCAGTCCAATGCCACACAGCGTTATTAAAAATGAGTTTGGAAGGATCCTTATCTTTCACTCTCCCCCTTCAACATTGTTGGGACTTCATCATGAGAATTTACTTGTATTGTTTCTATATGAGTGTTCTTAAAGCCAAGTGAGAAATGAAGAACAATTACCGGCTGCTGTCAGAAGAATACACATGTGTGGGCATACTGTGTTCCCTGTCCTCACACTCAAGGTTAGCATGTCTGGGAACAGTACCCCAAGAGCAACACAAGGACAGCACCCATGTGTGAAGGGGGAGTGGGCACACAGCAGGCACGGGTTGTTGGTTAGAGAGACAAGCCACTTCTGGTTTTGGATGGAAATGCTGATTAATACATCGTGTCTTCTTTCTGGTCTTTAGGCGGTATTCCTTTGAATCTGTGTTGTACTGACCATTAAGTACCCGTTTAGAAGCAAGCACAAAGCCTACCTACAGCTAACAGATTTGAATTCATTTGCAAACTAATTACCAAGGACCACACAGGAGTACGGGCCTAGTGAAAAACTGAATATGTCAGATCACACCGTCATTCTTTTGGCAAAGGATATGTCAAAAATGGTCTGGGGTTCTTCTGATGAATTTAATTTCATGTTACTACTCTGTAGTAGTATGGGGAAAACAATCAAGAACAAGCTGTATGCATGTCTTCATGCTATTCAGTTCCTGTACAAACACAAATATTGACTGTCCCTCGGCTGTTTACTCCTCAAATGGCCACCACACTTAGATCTAGGCAAGTCCGAAGTCAGGAACCAGAATCTCCACCCAGAAACCCATGAGTGGCAAGGGGCCCAAGTCCTTGGGTTGTCTTCAGCTGCCTTGCCAGGTGCATCCACAGGGATCTGGGACTGGGACCAGTGCTTTGATGTGGGATTTGGCACTGCAAGTTGTGGACTAATGTGCTGCACCACAGTAGTGGCCTACAAGCCACACGATCTTTGAAATGCCTTGGGCCAGTATTTTGCACATCTGTTAATACAAGTGTGCTGAGTCAGATAAACTCTAGGCAGCCTTATCTGTTTTCTAGCAGGGAAAGAATGATGAAAGTTGTATTTGAGGAAGATTAACAAGGCATTAGTATGCAAATAGCCAGGCCTCTGCTCCTTTCAGAATGCTCTCCTGCTGGAGCTGTCCTCTGTTGGCACCCTAAGGGCTACAGAAGTAAAATATCATGACCAAACAAAGTAACAAGTACTTTTCTTGATGACTCTCCAGTAAAGATAATGTGTAAATGTCTGGGGGTATACATGAAGCAACTAAAGTGTGAAAATTCATATGCCAGCCTTAGCAGTGTCAACCCTGAACTACTTATTCTACAGCCAACAACACTGATCAGCTACAATTTAACCACAGTGAAATCTGTAGCTGCCCCCTTTGCAAGTCACAGTAATACAGAGGGAAGATTCCAGATGGACAGAATATGCGTACATGTGCTTACCTCAGAATTTGCTCTAAAGGATTCTGTAATGAAAGTCATAGAAGAGATTCAAATGGTAGTTATCAGATGCTCAAAGGTGGGAAGGAAGGAACAGGTGGATACTGGGCAACGAATTCAGTCTCAGCTGGATACAAGGTGCATCTTTTTGTGTCAGATCTGTTACACAGCATGGGGACTAGAGTTAATAATAGTGTTCTGTAGGAGTGAGTGTTTTCACCCAATGGTTCAGACGCCTGGATCCTCCATTGAAGCACCCTGGTCCAGGTCCTGGCTCTGGCTCTTGACCATGGCTTTCTGGCAGCATTGACCCTAGCAGTCAGTGGTGCTGACTTGAGTAATTGCGTTGCTGACACCCATGTGGGAGACGTGAGATGTGCTCTTAGAACCTGGCTTCAGCCCTGGCCCAGCCCCAGCCATTCGGAGCACTTGGGAATGAGCCAGCAAATCAGTCAGTCAATGAATCGATCAATCTCTATGAACACCAGCCTTTAAACAAAGAAAAAATGTTAAAGGTAGTAGTGTGTTATCCATTTCAAAATTGTTAAGAGAATTAAATTGCACATGTCCTCACCATAAAAAAAAACAACATGTGGATCACCAGCTCTGTGCTAGACAGCAAGATAGTGATTAAGCAGACACACTTCAGCTTTAAAACAGCAGTAGCAGTTTTTAAAATGAACCCCTTTCAAAAGCTCCCCAGAATTCACCTGAAATGTTGTTTTCATTGAGACTATTTTGTGCATACTGAAGTTATGACATCTTTTTCTTTATCTATAGTGCTTTGATGAGTTTTTCAAAATTTCACTTATTAGTGTATGTTATAGTTTACCAGGGAAGAAAATGACAAAAGCACTTAATTCCTTATTTTTAAAATTCCAGCTCTGTACAAAGTGACTTGAAAGAAATGGTGGAAAAACAGAATTAAGGAGATAATAGAACTTTTCCGTGAGCTTACTGACACCTCCAGGTGTATGGTATAGAATGTCTTTTCATTTATATGGATTTTGCATATATGATTAGCTTTCATAACTCAAGGAAGAGTTTTTGTTTGCTAATTTAATAAAGAAAGATGAAAACCTTCGAGGGCCAGTCTTGACCTGCTGTTTATTTGCAGGATGGCTTCACCCCATTGGCAGTTGCTTTGCAACAAGGTCACGATCAAGTAGTTTCACTTCTGCTAGAAAATGACACGAAAGGCAAAGTGCGTCTTCCAGCTCTTCACATCGCTGCCCGCAAGGATGACACAAAAGCCGCGGCGCTTCTGCTGCAGAACGACAACAACGCCGACGTGGAGTCCAAGGTGAGGGCGAGGAACTCCGTTCTCCTGGCTAAGGCACACAACCTTTGAGAGTACCTGGGTTCCCTCTGGGCAAGCTTGTGCTAAGCACTATCTCCACAGAAATGAATCACAACAGGTATCCACATAGCCCCCAGGAGGCACACTTCCCCTTAACAGGCAAAGCTGGGAGGTGACCATGGAGACGGCCCTGCCTGTGCTCCAAGGAAAGCCACCTCAAAGGAATTGAAGGCGCGCGCGTACACACACAGGGGCCCGTGCGCACATCTGATAGTTTCCTTCCCCATCATTGATGTTCCATAAGGCGAAAAATGACAACGGTGCACAAAGAAGTCTCTAGCAGTGCTCCGAGTGCAGGTCAGCTGCCGAAAGCACACCAGCAGGGACAGAGTCACAGCGCCCCCTCCTGCCTCCGTCCCCACGGCCTTGATGCGTGCAGTTTCAAAGTCTCCGGGAGGAGAATGCGGCCATTGGACTAGGAGCGCTTTTTCGAGTCTAGCTTTGTCTCTGTGGCGACTGTGCTTTCATCAGAGCTTCCGTCCTCATTACTTAGCGGTCATGAGCTTTCTGCAATCCATATCACCGATAGTGAACTAACCGTTCATTTTTTCCTCCTCTTTGCTTCCAAATGTGTTAACCTAGATGGTGGTGAATAGAACAACAGAGGTATATATAAATATACGTGTATGCGTAATCTCTTCCCTGCATCATCACTTTCCCATTCCTTAGTGCTGCTGCCTCATTTCCTTCCCTCCTTCTTTGCATTGCCTTTTGTAGGCTAGATACCTGCTTTACACCCCTGCCTCCTAAAGGAGCATGTGCTAGACAAGACCGTAGTTGGATTACCAGGGCTTTCTGCAGCTGAACCTGGTGTTTGAAAGGTAGAAGGAGGAATCATTGAAACTTAAGGGCCTTGCAATAGAGCTGTGCGAGATGAAGACTTCCGACACGTTAGATGCTTATCGGCTGCACCTAAAGCTGCAGACAACCCTGTCGTTCTACTCATCCCAGACCAGTTCTTTAGGGTTCTGCATGACACTCGGCCTCGGTGGTGTCAGCAAGAGAGAGGTGAATTCAGAACGGTGCCGACATGAGCTGCCCTCCACGATTCTAGATCAGACGGCTAGCATGGCTAAGAAGCTTGCTAACAACCTAGAAATGCATCTAGTTCCACAAGGTTTCAGTCTTCGGGGACTAAGTGAACCGCTGCATGTTTAGCAATTTTTTTAAGGAAGTAAAATGATTGTGATAGAAAAAAAAAATCTCAAAATTTATTACTGAACAGGCATTTGCTAATAAAGATGAACTTAAAGATTCTTTGTGGGGTACATTGTACAAAATCGCCTCTGTGACAATACCTCTTCCCAAAACAATTGTTCTGTCATCAAAATTGGCATTGACTGTTGGTTAATTTGGATCTACCTGCAGAAAACAAATGGAACTTGACAGTTTCAATGGGCGATTCTGTTAGTAATGAAAGTGGCTCTAATCAAGTTTTCTATGAGCTATAAAGATTTTGGCATTTCCAAATATTGGCTGCTATGTAGATCTATTATTGGATTACTAAAACTGTTCAGCCTGCACCCTTGGTTCTTCCCTGGCTAGTCTCTCTTGTCGCTGAGCAATTGGCACTGATCAAAACCTGGGAGAGAATGGAATGTGGATCTCAACATATTTTGCTTCCTCATTTTTATTTGGATAGAGTCATGATATTATCCTGTCAGACAAGGGACTCACAGGAATCAATTGAACGTCTGCTGTGTTTTCTTCACAGAGTGGCTTCACTCCGCTCCACATAGCTGCTCATTATGGAAATATCAATGTAGCCACGTTGCTGTTAAACCGAGCGGCTGCTGTGGACTTCACGGCCAGGGTAAGCATTCAGCATTATTAAAGATTTTGAAGTGATGGCTAAATTTTTCTCCACAGGCAGGGCCTCACCACCACCCAAGGGCCCTTTCAGCCAGTCAGCGCTGAGATTGTCTGCTTATCCTAGGGCATTGCCTTGCTTTTACGTGGGTGGCTTTGTTCCTGACTGGAAAGGGAAGCAAGGTCAGGAGTGCTAGGAGGTTGGGTGATAAACATCCAAGTGCATATATACACAGTGTAGAAACTACAAATGGTTCTCCATGTTGAAATTTCTGACACTATTAGCAGTTGATCAGGTAACCCTCTTCTCACGCTTGAGGTCAAAATCATAGCCTTACACATGAGAAAATGCTAGAATAACTGGATGAGTTCTAACCTAAGAGATAAAATAACAAGAGCATCTTTTGATTTTTGTCTTCTGTCCACTATAAATCTTCATAAGGAGTAACAGAATTTCACTCGCTAAGGAAGCTTGCATGCACTGGGGAAGTGGATGGCAATGGCCCCAGTACCACTACATAGCAACCTGCACATTTCAGAGGCAGCCTTTGTATTCTGGATATGAACCTGGGCTGTTGGTGGTTAGGGTGGCGCTTGGGACATCCATGTGTCACATCAGAGTACCAGGATTCAAGTCCCAGCTCGGCCCCCAATTCCAGCTTCCTGCTAGTGTGACCCTGGCAGGCAGAAGTCCATGATGCACTTGGGTCCCGGCCATATGTGTGGGCGACCTGGATGGAATTTCCAGCTCCTGGCTCCTGGCCTAGCCTGGCTGTTGTGTGGGAACTCAGGGCAATGAACTAACAGCTGAGAGCTGTCACTCTGCATCTTCGGATGTTGAAGTAAATAGGTAGATAGGAAGGTTGGTGGATGGACTGGTAAAAGCTTGATCATAGGTAGATGAGTTAGCAAAATGAAATAGGTAAAATCTCAACTCCCAGAGTTCAAATTTGGCTTCAACTTTTCTGTGTCCATCAGTTACCTCATTTAGAAGCTAAATTACTGGGAATTATGAAATTAAACAGTAGAGACTCGTACTAAATTAGTCTTCCCATCTCCTTCCTCGAGTCCCTGTGCAAACTGAGCCGCGGTGCACACACAGCACCTGACAGTCCTTCATCGGCCACTGCAGTAGCACTGCTTTTGTGAACATAGCATCTGAAATTTAATTTTTGCAAAAGCCTCACTAGGCAGGGGAGGAGCGGTGCTGGCTCGTGGGGAGACAGGGCTTATAGTACTGTACTAGCAAGGGGAGGGGAGCAGCAGGAAATGTAGGAGCAATTTTGAAGCAGTTCCTGGGAGAGAGAAGCCAGGCTACGCATTCTATCTCATTGTGTCTAACATGAGCAAATGTGTGATTTATCTCTCCTTTGCAGAGAAGGAAACTGAACCACAAGATCCCCAGGCCAGCTGGTCTGAAGGAGCAGGGTTTCCACTGCAAACCTCTTAGCCCCTCCACTATTGTCTCCCTTTCGCAGCCTAAAGAAACTGATTTTACTTTTCCTCTTGGATTTCATCAGTTCTGCAAAACTGAATAAGACTTCAGGTGGTTGTACTCTGTCGTGTTTATTGGTTACAATGACTTGAGAGTGCAGGCCACTTTGTTTCATTCTAGACTTCTGTTCTTATTTTGTTAACAATGTCCTTGATGTGGCATATCTGGAAGCTAATGTGACAGTGTAGAGAACACGCTTGAGAACTTCTTTAAGCCAGGTACAAACGGGACATGTAGATGTTGAAACTGAAAGTTCATTTCAGAAGGGATTCTTTGGTTTTGGTTTCTGTGATTCATAGTGTAACAAAAACCTCGTCAGGTTACATGTTTTAATGAGGAGGTTTGGAAAACCTAGGTCAGGGCGGTGGTGGAAGTTCTCTCCGTGCCATTGTCCTGGAATGCCCTGATGAAGATCAGGAGAATGCTTTAACCATTGACGAGAACAAAGGAAAAACATCACAGGCTGGTCCGGCTCCTCCAAGCCATTCAAGAGCAGCCATTTCTGTGAAAACACTCACTGTAATCATTACAGAGAAGCTCACCTATTGATTAAAGATCAGTGGGTGACCTCAGCCTCAAGTGCAAGTTAACCTTGCCTGAGTAAGCACACATGATGCAAACTAAACACACTGTGCTTTTGTTTAAAGTGTATGAAAATGCAGACTTACACTGATGGAGAGAAGTGCTTTCCTAGTCATCCTAATTAATGAGGCCAAGCAGCGTTTGGGCTGCAGGCTGTGGAGGGATTTGATTATCATTTACAGGAGGTGTGTGCCGCAGCTTACTCCTGCGTGACCTCGCCTTCTCTCCCCGGGAGGTGATTGATGACTTGCTGTAGGGTGGATGAGAAGGGCTCCTTGCAAGGAAGCAGCTGCAATCTCCAGTCATTTTATTACATAAAAGTCCCACATCTGTATCTATGAACTACAGAGGCTTTCCCATTCCATAAGCCCCAGTGGGGTCTTTCTAGATGGTAGTTCTGTCAGGAATGTAGCAGCTGATAGCGAGAGGCCTTGGAACACAGCTGAGAATGAATTTGATCCAGCCAGAGCAATAAGAGAAGGATCATTAAGCCTTTGTTTGCTGAGAACTGACAGTAGTGGGCAGCCAGAAGCCATAGGCTTTGAGAGCCTGGGTGAATGGATGGTTTAGATGAGATGTGGTCAGGGATAAATACAAAATAATAGCACCTGTCTTTGTTCTAGGGGCTCTGGTTTTTGATCTTGATCGTGTCTGAGTGCAGTACCGAGTGGAAGACTGAGATCATGGCAGAAAGCCATGCATGGTTCTTTGTAGCACTGTGGGCTACGAGAAGGATTACCTGCTAGCAAACAGAGGAGGGGGTGAGGGACAGGACCACACTGCTGGAAGCACTTCCTGCATGCAGTAGATGTTCATTTCCAAAGCAGACATGAAGCAGAAACAAAGTGTGATTTAGGGAATGCACAGCAGAACAGAAAACTTTCCATGCTGGGAAATCTGGGTGGCAAAATTTCCTTAGATTTTTATTATGGGGTCAGTTTTTAATTTTACATTGTGATTTTGCTGTGTACATATTAGAGCCCCCAACGGACGCCCTCGGCATTTTCTTTGGGATTATCTCCGGAAACTTGCTGAGCCTCTTTGGACCAGCAGTGAATGCGGTTGCTGTTGAATGCTGCAATGCAGCATCAACATTCTCTGTTCTTTGAAGCCAGTCAGCCGAGAGGGCGTTGACACCGCCTGGATTGATGGCTGACCCTTGCTCTTGCAGCAAATCCGTCTGGCTCTCTGGGGGAAGATAATGTAACTAAGACCCATCATAGCCACTACTGATTAGCATTCCAATAAGGAGCGTTTGTGCACCAGAGTAACTAAAGGCAAATGATATTATGTGGATGCTGCAAAGCTCCTTTTATTGATTGAAGAAGATGAATACTTCACTGCCTAGGAGTTTTTTCATCAAATATAATGGACCACCTAACTTAATCTTCACTCTTGGTCATTAACCTTTCGTTGTAAATTGTTTTTCAATTTCTCGATTTAAAATTAATAAAGTATGCTTTAAGGTCCTGCTGTTTAGTAATTTTTGGTGCAGCCTCTGAAAGGATTGGGAATTTGTCTGTTTGGGTTAGGCACCTCTCGTTTCCAAAAGGATTTCAGCTAGTTTAGAGATGACAATTTAGAATGTTGGAGTTTGAGACCAAGCCCCACTTCCAGTTCTAGCCTCATGCAAATGTGCATGCCCAGAGGACAGCAAGGGATGACACAGTGGGTCCCTATTGCCAATGTCAGAGACCCACACTGAATGCCTGGCTCCTGGTTTCTGCACGTCTCAGTCACTGCTGTTGAGGGGCATCTGAAAAATAAACCAGCAGATAGGGGATGTCAGTCTCTCTTTACCTTTCAAATAAATAATTAATTTTAAAATACATTTACAGAATAAAACAAGAAAGGATAAAACAGGAGCGTGTTATTAACATGTACAGTGACCTAGTGAATACAGCTGAGCTTCACAGCTTTGTTTAAAGCAGAAAGTGAACTGTGGGTTATGGGCTTCTCACTTTTTAACATGTTTTTAAAATTATTTTTATATTTTTCAAACATTATTTTTCACACTTAGTTTTTGAGATCAAGTTTGACTGTTAGAGCACATCTCAATTTGGACATGAATTTTTTAAAAAGATTTATTTTTATTGGAAAGTCAGATTTATTGAAATGATACAGAGAAACAAAAAAAAAATCTGACCATTGATTCACTCTCCAAGAGTAGCTGTAATTCCCAGAGCTGAGATAAAATGATCTGAAACCAGGAGCCAGGAGCTTCTTTTGGGTCTCCCTTGCAGGTGCAGGGTCCCAAAGCTTTGGTCCGTCCTCTACTGCTTTCCCAGGCCACAAGCAGAGAACTGGATGGGAAGTGGAGCAGCTGGGATTAAAACTGGCACCCATATGGGATCCCAGTGCATGCAAGGTGATAATTTAGCCACTAGACTGTTGCGCCGGACCCAGCTTTTTACTCTTTGACAAAGAAAATCCTACTTACCTATAGAGACAATTTTTTTGTGGAGTAACTCAAATGTGATTTTTGGAAATATAAGCCATTTTAAAGTTTGTTTAGTTTTATCTATTAGAAAAGTAATCTGAAAGATTAGAAATAGAGAGAGATCATCATTCCACTGGTTTACTTCTCAAATACCTGCAAGAGAGACGGGACTTGCCCTGGTCAAGTCACAAACCAGAAACTCCATCTGGGGCTTACACATGCATAACAAGCACATGATTCGTTACCCATTACCTTTCAAGCACATCAACAGGATTTGGGTCAAAACCTGAATATCTGGGGCCCTGTAGAATATGGAACACTGATGATGGGATGCAGGAATCCCAAGCAGTGTCTTAACCCACAGCACCCCAATGCCTGCCCCAAATCCTTCTTAAGACTGGCAAGATAAATAGTTCATGTTGCCTTTAATTACTGTACCATGGTAGGAATACTGTCTATAGTACTGATCATGCTTCCCAGGGCCCTT